AGGCTGGGCCACGGGCCGGGCCCACTGCACCGCGCCCGAGCACTGACGGGGATCAGGCGACAGTGCCGAGAAACTGGCTTTAAGGTGGACGCAGAGTGGGAATTTGCTCGGACCTCTTTAAAAAGCTTCGACGCTGGAACCTTTAAATCTTCGCTATAGCCGGGGCAACTTCTGAGCCTGTGGGCGCCTCCTCAGTCTTAAAAGTCTAGGCAATCCTGTTGGAAGGTCCTAGGCAATCCTGGCCGCCGCCGGACTGGAGTCCCCTTGGAATCCTGAGGCGTCTTTTTCCTGAGTCTTGCTGCCAGCGTCCTTTCCCTCTCAAACCATTGGGGTGCACTGGGCTGGGGCCCAAAGTTCATTTGCTTGGAAGTGAAGGGAACAAGCGACCGTGCGCACCATTTCATTGTTTCAGTTCCGCTAACCCCTCTCTATCCGTGTCATTTTCTTCCCATTAAAAAAAAATGAGATATGATTCATATACCATAAAATCCCACCTTTTAAAGCGCGCTATTTGGTGGTTTAAAGCATATTCACGAAGTTGCGCAGACATCACTACGATCTCTTGAACATTTTAATCGCCCCTCCAATGTAGTAGTCCTTCATTCTCCCCTCCACGCAGCCTTGGAAACCACTAATCTACTTTGCAGTCTCCATGGATCTGCCTATGCAGCAGGACATTTCTTTCTTTCTTTCTTTTTTTTTTTTTTTGGTAGCGGTATCGAATTTAGGGCCTTGTGCTTGTGAGGCAGGCAGCTGAACCACTGAGCTAAATCCCCGACCCATTGTTCAGGACATTTCTATAAATGGAACCATACAATATGTGGTCTTTTGTAACTAGCTTCTTTCTGTAGGCACAATGTTTTCATGGCCCATATGTGTTTTCGTGCATGCAGCAGTACTTAGTCCTTTTGGTGACTGAATAATATTCTATTGTACATACAACATTTTGTTTGTACATTGATCAGATGATGAATATTTAGGTTTCTGCTTTGGGAGTTATTGTAAATAAAACTGCTGAGAACAATTCCTCTACAAGTCTTTGTATGAACATAAGTTTTCACTTCTCTTGGACACATATCTCAAGGTGGAATGGCTGGGTCAGGTCGGTAATTATTTTTGGAAAAACAATTTGTTTTCCAAAGCAGCTGTACCCTTCTACATTCCCACCAGCAATGTTTGAGGGATCCACAGTCTTGATAGCCTCCCAACACTTATTATCGTGCGTCTTTTTTATTACTACCATCCTTGTGTCGGTGAAATGGCATCTTGAGCATTTGGTTATCATCGTTTCTGAGGACTTGTGTGTGTGTGTGTGTGTGTGTGTGTGTACACGCCTTGATGGCTTGGAACCAGCTGTACACCTAGGGAACCTAGTCTCTTCCTATTTTGAGGACTTCTCCTTCCACTCCAGACCTGAGGGGACCTCGCTACTCTTGAGTCCCACAGCCTACTGTAGGCTGCCACTGGCATCTCAACCACAGATCTAACCATTCAGTGAGAGCTGTGCTCCCCATGTCTCCACTTCCATCTGCTCCTCTCAAGGCAAAGTGGACCCCAGGAGACTAGATTGGATGCCATTGAAAGCATCCCAACTTGGCAGTAGGGAGTAAAAGAAGTGGCTGGGAAGGGAGCTTGGGGGAATAAGTTCACTGGTGAGTCTTGCCCTGGAACCTTCCTTTTGTTCTGCTTTCCATTTACAGCAGGCCATGAGGAAGATGCAGAGAAGGCATTCTGTTTGTCTGTCTGTCAACCCTTCCCTGGCTTCTTCTATCAAAAGATATCGCCTCCTTGGCCCCGACTGGCACCATAGCCTGGTGCCCTCAGCAGGGCTGAGACAACATCTATACAAGAGTTGAAAGGTATATGGATATTGCTTCCATATACAAATCTCTAATAAGATGTGTTCTCCAAAATGGAGTTTACACAGCTAGTGATCATACCCAGGTACCTGGGAGTCTCTAAAAGGCTGCGGTATCTGCTCTTCTGAAATAAAGTTGTGGCTCAGTTGCTGGCAAACAGGGGCTTTGGCGACAGGGAGACAGGATAAAAGTGAGGACTGGATTTGAGAGTTCACTCACTCAGTAAACACTGCCAAAGCATCCTGAGTGCCTGCAGAGTGATTGCCAACCAAAAGAAGTGTGGGGGGCTGTGGGAGCTCAGAGGAGGGGTACCTGGCCCAAGCGGCGAGAAGGCATTGAGAAGGAGTGGCTGATCCTGCTCTAAGGACAAACAATGCTATTGGGAGAGACAAAACCTTCTATGCTGAAACCTGACTGCGCAGATCTGCATGGTTGATCAGGTATATATGAGTCATAGTAGGAGGTCAGACTCCTGGCCAAGAACCCAGGCAGAGATCAGGCTTAGCTTACATGCTCCAAGGTCCAAGGCCAGCCACTGGGCCAGGAGCCAATTCCTGGATAGGGCAGAGGTCAGAGCTGCTGGGCTGCTTAGGGGGACCTCCCCAGTCAGCGACAAAACAAATATGTTTCATGCACTGCAGTGTACTATGCTTGCTTCTCTGCCCCAAGGCCTGGTGAATGCCTAATAGTCTAGTGGAAAATTCAGGAGGACATGGGGACCCCAGGGCTGGAAATCAGCCAGGTCACCGTGGCTCAACCTTCCTCTGTAACCCTAGCTCCAGTATGGTCCCTGAGGGAAGAAGTAGCTGTAGGTTTCTGAGCATTTGTGAATGATGTGCCAAGTGCTGGACCTGGGAACGAGTCTATACACCTCCAACTACTCTATGTGGAAAGCCTTACCAGCCTTCCTGGCAGAAGAGACCATGTGTCCAATCCTACACAGGGATGGACTGACCGGAAAGCCTGTACTCTCTCTACAATACCATTGGCCACAATGGGCACGTCAGTTATATGTGGCTGTATTGGAGAAGCAAGAAAAGCTGGACAGAAAGGAGACCAGCATTTGGTTTAGTTTCCTAGTCGCAGCTTCTTCAGGCTATGTTCAGATCTTTCAGTGACCTTGCAGAACCAATTCTTAAAAGAAGCTGGTCCTAGCCCCAAGCCGACCTCTCTTCTGTGCCACATATTATATAAAGGCTCTTTCCCCCCTTCCATTGTGTTAGCACCAAAAGCTACATCTGCTTTCTGGGGTTCCCAGGCCAGTACCACCTCATCCTTGCCTTCCCCACTAATGCCTCTGTACCTGCCACTTCCTCTGGTCTCCTTGGGAGTAAGTCTTCACAAGGTTTTCTTCCCTCACATGGACTCCTTCTTGCTCTCTGGAGCTAAAAGAGCAATTTCTGATAAATCTTCCACCCACCTCACTATCAACCTTCTCCTTAAGGTTGTGCACACTCAACTAATATGTTTGTTTCCCATCATCATTTTTTTTTTCTCCTTGTTGTCTCTTCCTCCATTTAAACAAAAGTCTGGTGGCTTTTAAACTTTTGGGGTTGCAACACATAGGAAGAAATCATTTTTGTACCGCAAATCAGAACAATGCCCAAGTGAAACAAAAGTTTCATAGAACAATACTACCTCTATTATGTGTTGTGCCCTTTGACCTATTCTAGTCTGTGTTATTAAAAACTACTAGCAGACTTCTGAGAATATACTGGAGCAGTAAACAGCAGCAAATCAACCTCTCCAAGATTCAGAATCCAGACACACTAGAAAACAACAGCTTGGAGAAGAAAAGAAGGAGGGAGGTGGATCCCCAGGACCCAGGAAGGATCTGGAGGGAAAATCAAAGCCCACAACGAAAGTGAAGAGACCAAACACAATACAGAAAAAGGAGGGGCAAACAGTACTTTCTTCCAGCTCCCAGCAAGAGAGGGAAAAATCAAATCTAAAGAGACGCAGTGAGGGCAGGTGACTCCAGAGGCCTCCAGGGAGAAACGTAGCAGTGGAATAGAGCAACAAATGCAGTGCACTACAACAGCTAGTGAGTGACTGCAGTCCCAGTGACTGCTGTGTCCCCTGGAGAGGGCCTTGTTCAGAAATCATTTTAGGGAGGGGCCTACTCAATCTGGGACTTGGAGCAGCCATGAGTTGGCTTCATCTCAGGTCTCCCAGTGTTGATATCCCATGGGGACTGGATGAGACATAACCACAGGAGATGTCCAGGGTCAGGGAACTGAGGTCAGCCAGAAAGAGACACCCAGAGTGTTGTAGGCTGAACAATTCAAGCCCTAACCCCACAACCAGAGGCCAGGATCAGCCTGAACTTCTGTGAAGTTGAGAGCACCAGAATCAGCACCCCACCCAAATCCTACTACAGGCTCGCTGGGATCATAAAGCACAGATCTGGAGTCTGTCGTCCACCTTTGTCTACCAGTGACAGCAGAGGCATATCCTGAATTGGACATTACTGCAAAAATGTAGACCCCAGAAGACAATAATAAGCTTGAAATTGGAGAGAATGCTCTTTGTTTTTCTTTGCTTTTTTTCCCCCTTTTTCATGAGTGTGAACATTGGTTTTAGGGTTTTTGTTCTGTTTTGTTCTTTTTTTCCCCTTCTTTCTTTCCCTGCTGTCTTCTGCACCAGTTTCCCAAAGCTTGGATAATCTTCCTTTGTCCTTTAGCCTTGCTTCTAATCTCTTTCTCTTATTTTATTTCTCAATTTTTCCTCTTATCCTTTTAAAATTTTCTTCCTGAAGGGCAATATCGCTTTA